AAAAAAAAAAACCGTTTGTCTAGTGATTAGTTTATTACGAGTTTTTGGGTCCATCGTAAATGGGTCTAGAATGTTGTGGTCCCCAAGTTGACCTTTTTTTGTTCGAGGCTGAGCGTGGCCGCTTTTTTTGCAGCTGAAGAGCTGTTTTTACCAATGGCCGTGTTTAGCTTAGAATTTTCAGGCAAGTGGGTTGACTGGATCGTTCTAGATTCCTTTTCGAGTGGGTTGTATCATAATGTTGGTATCGTGAGAGTGTGTCCCGTAGGGTTTGGTTTGACGGTTGCTTTTGGCAGTTTCACGTCTTTTACCTTGCGTTTGTGGGCTTTGGCTGTGGTGAGCTAGCTAGTGTTTAGCCTGCCACGACAACTGGTATACCGGTTGTTTTTTAATGTTTTTTTTTCCAGAGCCTTGGTTTTGCAAGTGTCAATTTGTGAGCTGTCTGTAGTGCAACCAGTGTGTTGTCCTGAGTCTTCAAGAGTTCAGTTTGCTTTTGTTTGTACCCTTTGTGGTGTTATGTGTTTCTTTGAATAAAGACTACTTCAATGTAGCGTTTGTTAAGATGTCTTGTTTTGTCATTGTCTTTTTACTTTTGGTGATGAGATGTTGCTTCTTTTTATCTGCTCTAAAGGTTTAATTAATGTCTGATCTAATCAGTGAAGGCCAGGGCATCATCAACCTTTTTCTAGCGTTGGATCACGCCCATGTGTGTGTATACATGATACTGCCCTCACCGGTAATCGCGATTTTTACCCAAATAAGACGCGAACCGTAACAAATACATTACATTTCAACACGTATAGAAAGTGTTTCCCTTAACGAATTACTAAAAGACAATCCTCGAATGATAGATTTACAACCTGTGCCAAGGACTCACACTGCAATTGCCTCTTGCACCTTACCAGTTTCTTCTGGAGCTTCTGGAAGTTTCTCGTCCATGATCAACTGACTCTGGACTGTCCCAGCAGCAGCACTACTTTCGTCCTCATTCAAGACTTTCGGCTGAGCCTCGTGTTCAACTGTTTCTTTGGAAGAAGTATTACTTATACGGGATGATGATGGTCTCCTTTTCTCTTCATATGATGAGGCATTCTCCTCAAATGGCCACTTGGGAAGGGACTTTCTCTGTGGCTTCTTGACACGATCTTCACGCGTTCTGGCCAGGTTGCTCTCGTCAAGGCTTAACCGAGGCGGGCTCGTGTCGGCATTCGGTGAGATCGAGCTCTTTGTTGGAATCTGCATAAAGAAGTTGATGACTGACATAAAGTTCATATATAAGTGATGATGATGGGCATGAACTAGAAACTGATTTATTGTTAGGGGTAGGAACTATGTTACCTGGACTCGGATATGGGTGTGTATCGGGTATGGAGATATGAGCGTCCGACTCGTCAATAGTTTAGAAATCTTGAACATTTTAAGCTAAAATGCCACACCCGACACTCATACCCACACCAATGTCGACACAACATGACACGGGTATTCTTCCTAAATAGAAGAGTCCGGGTAACATAGGGTAGGAATGAACGAAGAATTTGAATAATCCTATTGAGTCACATCACATGCACCAACAATTTACTGTACAAAGAAGGTATAATACATTATTATCGATAAACAAATATACAAGAGTACGGCCGATTATTATCGATTTTCAGTCACACGTTTACGTGAAACTCAAATATTTTATGTGTTTCTTATCTGTTACCTTCTTTAGTTCCGGTTTCTGAGGTGCAGGTTCTTGATATAAGCTCGGCATTGGTGTAGCTTTGAAACCCAAACTTTTTCTAAACATTTTGATCTCAGCATCCCGTGTTTCCTATTGAGACAGATAAATATCGAAACGGAATAAATTCCAGTCTGCCGACTGAAATATTAGTCCAAATCTGATGTAAAAATCACACCTTGGTTTTAGCTAGAAGATTACTCTTCTCTGCTTCCTTTGCCTGGATCTTTTCCTCAAGTCTTGAATAGAACTGACCAAATTTACCCAACAGAAAAGATAAAAGTGAAAAAGGGTAGAAAAATATATCCATGTTATTACATACATTGTCATGACGTCTAGTACTTTGAGCAGAAATGGTTCTAGAGACTTCTGGACTTTGCCTCTCGTTAAATGATTTGCTTTTTGTTCCGAAAGCAGACTCCTTCGAGCGTAATTCACAAGCAACTTTGCTGTTCGAAGATTTCATAGCCTGCTTTCCATCGTTGCCCTTGCTCAATGGTTTCCCATTTTTGGCCCTTATCATACCCTTTACCGGTTTCGAACTCTTTGAATCACTAGACTTTTGAAACTCGGGTTCGTAGAAGCATTAGTTATTAGAGAATCTTTAATTCAATCTTTTGAGGAGTGATTTTGTGCTTAAAATCAAACCAAGTAGAATTCGAAATCAAAAGAGCACCCATCGTACTGACTTTAGATTTTCGCAAGAAAGAATATATAAACTTTTCACGAGATAAACGAATGACGAGCGTGAACAAGAAAAACTGATACTGATATAAGGGGTCTCAATCATATTAAGAATGTGTGTGGTTATTTTTGGTAGCACAATAGCCTCAGATTGCCCAGAAGAGAGAATATATTACTTTTAAGCCGTATATACAATAATAGTATGGCTCGTCTAGTGTGAACGAAAGAATCTATATGAAAAGTGAATCTTTGTTACCTTCTTTAGTTCTGCTTTTGGAGGTGGAGGTTCCTGATAGAAGCTCGGCATTGGTGTAGCTTTGAAACCTAAACTTTTTCTCAACATCTTAATCTCGGCTTCTTGTGTTTCCTATGTAACCGATAAAGGTTTTATCTGAATCAATAAAACATAGTTTGCTGTCTGAAATATTGGATGTCGTATTTTGATATGAGAACCAAACCGCACCTTGGTTTTAGCTTGCAGGTTACTCTTCTCAGCTTCCTGTGCCTGAATCCTTTCCTCAAGTTTCGAGTAAAACTGTCCAAACAAGATATATCACAATAGGAAAAAATGAATAAAAATGACAAGAAAAACCTCAGGTGTACCAAGTAGTAAGTACTACTAACCTCTTTCCTTTTCTCAGCCCTTTCATTGCATTTGAAACTGAAATTATAGGCAGGAATAGTACTCAATTTGAGGGGCATGGCTTCCCCAGCTGTTCGATTTCTAAAAAGTATTCTAAGGATAGACCAAAGAAAAGTAGAAAACCTTTGTTCAAAAGAAGAGACTTTGTTTATTTTAAAATCCAAAAAAGAAAAGGATACGATGAAGACTCCGATATCTCATCGGCTTTAATGGAAGGTCCTTTTGCAAGTGTTTTCAGCTTTGTCTTACTGTGATAAAAAATATAAGTTCATCGACAACTGTTCAAGAAATTATTAGGGGAAAAAAAAAAGGAAACTGTGACGAAGTGTTTGTAACAGGAACATAGGCGATACAAAATTTTATAAACATACAGAAATTCTTCAGTCTGTTCTCCTTTTGTGGAAGACAACATCACACACTAGGTAGCCCATGCTGCTGCTGCTGCTGCTGCTTGGATTAAGGATAAATAAACATTAAAAAACTCAAAAACCAAGGAGTTTAACTTCTTAAGAATCAAAATACTATTGTAGAAAACAATGTCAAAGGTCACACGCATTTTCATGTTGTGCCTTATCAGCACTTTGCCTCTGTTTGAACGATTTGCTTTTTGTTCCAAAAGCAGAAGCGAATTTGCCGGTCGAAGATTTCTTAATTTCTTTTCCATCTTTGCCCTTGCTCGAAGGTTTCCCGTTGTTGGGTCTCGAATTATTTGGTTCTTGAGGCTTTTCAACTTCAGGTTCCTACAAGTACTGGTTATTACAGAATCTTCGAAAGAACAAATTAAACTGTTCAGTTGAAAATGTTGAGGCAGTGTCTGAGTGATGTCTTAAAAAAAAAAAAATAATAATAATAATAATAAGAATGACAACTAAAAATATAGAGTTAAAAGAAAAGATAGCCGCCAACCTTCTTCGTTGAGCATGAAGTCGGTAAATTATGATTAAATCAAACAACATCAAAATAGAAGATGGCATTTGAAAAACTAGATATCTTCAAAGCTCATAATCACTTCATGTTACGAGTTTCCAAAATTTTCCTTCACAATCTTCTACCTTTGAGTGGCTGATTGAACAGCTTCCTGGTGGATAAGACAGCTCTTCTGTGTATTCTTGGCCAGAATTTACTTTCTTCTCCTCATTCAACTCAATGGCATGTTCAAAATTCTCAGCCAACCCTTCGATCTCAAGGTGTGCAATTCAATGTCCCGTTTATTTGCGCTGAAATCAGGAGATGTTGGCAATGAGTTTTATCGAGATCCCCATTATCAGCATCCATCATGCTCGATTTAGCTAAACAGAAATCAAGATACATATCGAAAGAATGTGAAAACAAAGCCCCATTGTCGAGTTCCTAACATGAAAAGACAGGCAACATGGATCGAATATTCTGCATTTCAATGAGTGTAGAAGTTTAAAATTAATCAATATAGATGATTGACAGCACAAAAGTTGAAGAACAATAAAGTTGGATGTCATTCAAAATACCATCTTCACCAACAAGAATGCAAAAAAAAAAAATATATATATATATAGTAATAATAATAACAATAAAGCAAACTATTACATGGTACTAAATAAATTTTTCAAAGCTTTTCAACAAAACCTTGGACATTA